CTGTGGTACCCAGAACTGAACAGAGAACACTAAATGGGGTTTGCCCAGTGGCATTCCATGTGATGTTTCCTTCCAGTGTGGTCATAAAACTATAACATAAAAACAGAATCAATGCCTTGTTTTATTGTACCTGCACCTATGTAGTTCAGCAGTGTTCTCATCATGGCCAACCAACTGCATAAAGCAATCTGCCGGTCTACCAGCAATCGTGCTGCAATATAGGCTAATAAGGGTAGATCATTTATCTCTCTTTGAGCCCATCTAACAGTATACTCTAGTCCATATTTTATCATTGTATGAAGGAGATATCATGAAGTACTTTGATGAAAGCTTTATTGAAGTATAGGTATACTATCATAGGAGAAAATTAGGTGTTGATTAGGACAAGCCAAGCGCTCCCCCCTCCTTAGTTACCTTTCCAAACAATAGACCATGTCATCTTAACATTTAGAAGGCCAAGCAATGTTGATTAAGCTGAGAAAAGATACTAGAAGCAAAGTTTCTGAGAAGCAAGGCCACTATAAGATAAACCCATAAAATTATCTCTTTAGAAACAACTGCACTACTAAAATACTGTTTCTTGTCTAAATACACCGTTATTTTTCTAATTCCAAGGTTACCACATAGACGCCACTCTATTCCTGATTTTGCCAACCATATGCATCGTTCACATATAGTATGCTTAACCCTGTGTTATTGGTAAATCGTATGTATTCTAATTTGCATAATTATATGATAGAGTTTGCATTCCCCCTTTTAAATTTGCTTTTTCTGCCTCTAGTACCACAATAAACAATTTGTACTTTGACCAAAATTTGTACTGGTCTCCTTTATAAACAATTCTTGACTGAAATTGTTGAGAGAAAATTCTCCTACAAATTGGTGTTGCAAGTTTTGGCAATATGTCTGTGGCAAATTATTAGACGTGGTCATTGAGGTATGGATTGTTGGTGGGCAATCAGCAGAGATGAAGCACAGCCTGAATTATTGATCGTTCCCTAAATGTTTCTAGCTATGTGAAAGTCTTGATCATTGGAAACACTGAGTCAAGATTTATATTGAGTACAGGTAGAATAAGCAGGATCAGACTTTTCAACAGGAATAAACCTAAATGCAAGAGGAATTATCATATTTTTCAGAATATAAGACGCACTCCCCCCACCACAAAAAAAGTGGGTGGAAATGTCTGTGTCTATCCGGCAGGGGGGTGTTGGTGCAGCACCGATCAGTTGTTCTAGAACGGGCGGTGGCGGCGGCAAACGGGCCACAGCAAATGGCTCAGATGAATACCAGATGGATGCTGAGAGGCAGAGGCAGATTTTTTTCTTGTTTTCCTCCCCAAAAGCTACGTATGTCTTATAGTCTGGAGCATCTTAAAATCCAAAAAATACAGTACCTG